CTCTAGTTTATCACTCTAGTTTATCACTCTAGTTTATCACTCTAGTTTATCACTCTAGTTTATCACTCTAGTTTATCACTCTAGTTTATCACTCTAGTTTATCACTCTAGTTTATCACTCTAGTTTATCACTCTAGTTTATTACTCTAGTTTATCACTCTAGTTTATCACTCTAGTTTATCACTCTAGTTTATCACTCTAGTTTATCACTCTAGTTTATCCCTCTAGTTTATCACTCTAGTTTATCACTCTAGTTTATCACTCTAGTTTATCACTCTAGTTTATCACTCTAGTTTATCACTCTAGTTTATCACTCTAGTTTATTACTCTAGTTTATTACTCTAGTTTATCACTCTAGTTTATCACTCTAGTTTATTACTCTAGTTTATCACTCTAGTTTATCACTCTAGTTTATCACTCTAGTTTATAACTCTAGTTTATCACTCTAGTTTATCACTCTAGTTTATCACTCTAGTTTATCACTCTAGTTTATCACTCTAGTTTATCACTCTAGTTTATCACTCTAGTTTATCACTCTGGTTTATCACTCTGGTTTATCACTCTAGTTTATCACTCTAGTTTATCACTCTAGTTTATCACTCTAGTTTATCACTCTAGTTTATCACTCTAGTTTATCACTCTAGTTTATCACTCTAGTTTATCACTCTAGTTTATCACTCTAGTTTATCACTCTAGTTTATCACTCTAGTTTATCACTCTAGTTTATCACTCTAGTTTATCACTCTAGTTTATCACTCTAGTTTATCACTCTAGTTTATCACTCTAGTTTATCACTCTAGTTTATCACTCTAGTTTATCACTCTAGTTTATCACTCTAGTTTATCACTCTAGTTTATCACTCTAGTTTATCACTCTAGTTTATCACTCTAGTTTATCACTCTAGTTTATCACTCTAGTTTATCACTCTAGTTTATCACTCTAGTTTATCACTCTAGTTTATCACTCTAGTTTATCACTCTAGTTTATCACTCTAGTTTATCACTCTAGTTTATCACTCTAGTTTATCACTCTAGTTTATCACTCTAGTTTATCACTCTAGTTTATCACTCTAGTTTATCACTCTAGTTTATCACTCTAGTTTATCACTCTAGTTTATCACTCTAGTTTATCACTCTAGTTTATCACTCTAGTTTATCACTCTAGTTTATCACTCTAGTTTATCACTCTAGTTTATCACTCTAGTTTATCACTCTAGTTTATCACTCTAGTTTATCACTCTAGTTTATCACTCTAGTTTATCACTCTAGTTTATCACTCTAGTTTATCACTCTAGTTTATCACTCTAGTTTATCACTCTAGTTTATCACTCTAGTTTATCACTCTAGTTTATCACTCTAGTTTATCACTCTAGTTTATCACTCTAGTTTATCACTCTAGTTTATCACTCTAGTTTATCACTCTAGTTTATCACTCTAGTTTATCACTCTAGTTTATCACTCTAGTTTATCACTCTAGTTTATCACTCTAGTTTATCACTCTAGTTTATCACTCTAGTTTATCACTCTAGTTTATCACTCTAGTTTATCACTCTAGTTTATCACTCTAGTTTATCACTCTAGTTTATCACTCTAGTTTATCCCTCTAGTTTATCACTCTAGTTTATCACTCTAGTTTATCCCTCTAGTTTATCATTCTAGTTTATCACTCTAGTTTATCACTCTAGTTTATCACTCTAGTTTATCCCTCTAGTTTATCACTCTAGTTTATCACTCTAGTTTATCACTCTAGTTTATCACTTTAGTTTATCACTCTAGTTTATCACTCTAATTTATCACTCTAGTTTATTACTCTAGTTTATCACTCTAGTTTATCACTCTAGTTTATTACTCTAGTTTATTACTCTAGTTTATCCCTCTAGTTTATCACTCTAGTTTATCACTCTAGTTTATCACTCTAGTTTATCACTCTAGTTTATCCCTCTACTTTATCACTCTAGTTTATCCCTCTAGTTTATCCCTCTAGTTTATCACTCTAGTTTATCACTCTAGTTTATCACTCTAGTTTATCCCTCTAGTTTATCACTCTAGTTTATCACTCTAGTTTATCACTCTAGTTTATCACTCTAGTTTAT